GTAGTGAATTACTCTGTACAGCTCACAGTAGCGATTGGTGAATGTTAAAGTGATAATATTTTGATAACGAAACGTGAGACCCATACCTTTATTTAGATGAATATTGCTATTCTCGCAATAAACAACTTCCTAAAGAAAACATGTTGACCTATTGGAAACGGAGGTAGTTATCATGAATAAAATAAAACACCTGGTATATAAATCAACTCATTTATTTATTTTTACAAATGCTGTGGTATGTATTTCATGAAAGTGCCTGCAGTATACTTAAACCTTGTTACAATTTCTAGTCTAAAATGAGATACCTAGGTTTATTTAAAATCTGCCAAAAATTAAGAATCACCTTGTGGGCGTAAAAACGACAAAACGGTAAATGATATCCCCCTGTATACATTTCCACAATCTATACCTGGAATTGCAAAACAACCAAAAACGCTACAGCCAACCCACCTTATCGATATATCAACCAACTCTACCAAGTTACCGTTACAATATTTTCCTTTATTTACTTTGGAAAACCACATTACTTATAACGCACTTGAATGCCTACAGTCTTATCAAAATAGCCACAATGTAGATGTTCATCATTTTTCGAATGGCCTGACCACTTCTAATCCACGCGGAAAAGACTATCTACACATTGACACCAACATCCTCCGATCGGACTACTCCTGCGCCCAGCGGCTGAACATCTGCTACACTTTGAAAGTTACCACCTATACGCATATACGTACCTACATTTCCCTTACATGTAACGTTACACTACCATTCATTAAACATTCCCAATGTTACTATATATTTTTTTATCTGTGAATACAAACAGGTGTTTACTTATTATTCACGAATCAATCTCTATCACAGCATCATAAAGTTTACAAAAATAATAATTTTACAAGTGGCCTATGTTATTAAAATGTTATTGGCTTTAATATTATTGTTTTGTACTGTACATGTATATGTATAGTATCTTTTATGTATTTTATCTTTTGCTGACTTATCCTATGTCATTTGTATGGCATTTTGAAGTAGGTAATAAATTATTGTTGTTGTTGTTGTTGTTGTTGTTGTTGTTGTTNAATCCACTATTAATGTTTGTCAGAGTATATCAAAGTGATTTACAAACGGTGACCAAAGATGAAACCTTCTTTGGTGAATTTTAAAGGGAGCCTTGAATAAAATTTGTATCTAGGACGATTTGTTAAAAAAATACAGTAAGCGAAATAATTTGAAATTGGGCATATTTGTATAAACATTGTGCAAAATCTGAGACGTTTTCTAAAATTTAGAAGCTCCAGTGGCGGAGGTACAGGGTATGGGCGGCATATTTTTTTAAATAAAATAGTACGCCACTGCTTCACGGCAACAATCATGATATTTTCGGATTTGTCTTTCAATTTTACACAAATTACTACCCTTACTATGTTTTTCAAGAAAAGACTGATTTTCGAGTAAAACTTAAAAAAACGAACTGAAAACACTACAAAAAGAATTCCAGTGGGTTGATGTTGGTGTTTTCAGTTCGTTTTTCAAGTTTTACTCGAAAATCAGGCTTTTTTAAAAAACATAAAAGGGTAATAATTTGTAGAAAATTACAAGACGAATCCGACAATATCAGGATTCTTACCGTAAAGCAGTGGCGTACTATTTTATTTAGAAAAATATGACACCGATACCCTGTATTTCCGCCACTGGAGCACCTAAATTTTAGAAAAAGGCCTCAGATTATGGACAATGTTTACATAAATACATCTGCCCAATTTCAAATTATTTCACTTACTAGTGTTTAATTTAAAAAAAAATTAAAATATTTTTTTAAGTTTAACACCCTTTTTCTTTTTAACGAAGCGTCCTAGATAAAAACTTTATACGAAAGACTCTCCTTAAAATTCACCAAAGAATACGATTTTTCATTTTTGGTCACAGTTTGTGAATCACCCTATACAGCGTGTCTCTGAAAAGAATGGACAACGCTTGACCACAGGTTCCTTGCATGAAAATAAGACTATTTAGACTAACTTACCTATACACAAAAGTGCACGCCTACTGAGATATAGCCTTCTAAATAGAACAGATAACCTAGTTTTTTTTTCAAATAATTTGAAAACTGTTTTTTTAGAAACCAAATTTGGTACACATATTTTTTTATATAAGGGCAATGTAAATACAGAATTTGGTGAGAATACATATACAGGATGTTCTCTTTCTAATGCCTGTGCGCCACTGGCTATCCCGTAACTTTTTCGTGTGTCCGCCAATGACAACGGAACTTATAATTTTAAAAATAAGCACTATTTTAGAAGATTTTTTTTGCTTCTTACAAAATTTTGATGTCGTTTATGAATTTCGAGTAAAATTTACATTTTTTACACATTAAATAATATAAAATCAGAAAAGATAATTAGAAAAGTCTAGTACGAGGTGCCATATAACAAACAAACAAATTCATAATAATAATTAAAAGGTTCTGTGTCAAGTTAGGTGTGAATTAATTTGAGCTTACTTTGTTTTTTATTGCAAATTATACTTTTGCTGAACAAACTGATATATTATTAGTTTTGTGCTACTGTTCGAACATATGCTGAAAGATTTCCTAATCGAATAATTAATAACAGGACGTTGTTTACTTGTAACATTAAATCGTGGACAGCGTACGTAGGAGCTATTCAGCTGGAGGAACAAATTTTGGAAATGGTCGAAAAAATTCCGCAAGTAAATACAAGGCGTTTAGCGGCCGAGGCTGGCTTTCAAAAAGTTCCGTTAATAGAGTATTAAAAGATCAGTTATTACAGGTTACTATCCTAACAGGTGGATAGGTAGAGGAAATAATGCCCCTTTAAAATGGCCACCTCGATCCCCGGACCTAAACCCATGTAATTATTTCCTTTGGGGAGCGTTGATGACAACAGTTTATAACTTTTCAGTAAATATAGAAAACGAATTATGGGAAAGAATACAAAATGAAATTAATGTTAAGAGAGGTAATAGCACAATTATTGGATAAAATTCATTTTAATTTTCTAAGAACTAATGCTTGCAATTAAGAATAAGGAAGTCACTTTGAGCATTTACTGTAATATTATTTTAATGTGATTACAAATATCAATTTAGGTTTATTTAAAATGTTAATGTTGACTTTCTCATTATTAGTTGATATTGTTTATTAAATAAGACTAAAATTGTGTAGTTATTTTTTTAATATGTCGTTTTTTCATTATTATTCCCTGCTTTAGGCTGTAGTTATAAATGATTTTTTATATTATTATAAAAAATGCCAATTATACTCGAAATCCACAAACGATATCAAAATTTTATAAGAGCAAAAAAATCTTCTTAAATAGTGCTTATTTTTAAAAATATTCTGGCCTTACTAGCGTATACACAAAAAAAATTACGGAATAGCCAGTGGCGCACAGGCACTAGAAAGAGAACATCCTGTATGTGTATTATCACCAAATTTGCCCTTATATGAAAAAATATGTGTACCAAATTTGAAGTTTCTAGGAAAAATAGTTTTCAAGTTATTTGAAAAAAACTAGGTTATATATTCTATATTTAGAAGGCTATATCTCAGTAGGCGTGCACTTTTGTATATAGGTAAGTTAGGCTAAATAGTCTTGTTTTCATCCAAGGAACCTGTGGTCAAGCGTTGTCCATCCTTTTCAGGGACACGCTGTATATGGGACATTCCGTGCCAAATCACTGAGGTCGTGACCTTACCATTAATTTTCCTGGTTTTTTGGTATTATTTAATGCCCATTTAGCGTATCTTTCATGAATTTTTTCAAATTTTTATTTCAACCCCACAAGAAGTTATGAGCAATTGAATATTTTGGGTAAAAAATTATCAAATAAATACCTGTAACTTGACAAAAACTGAAGACATAACTTTTTTTTCATTTTGTTCGTTTTGAGATGTAGTTTTATTAAAAAAATACATACAAATTATATTTTTAGTTTTTTGAGGTGTTTTTTGATTTTGAAACCAAAAAAGTAATTTTTGGAAAAGAGTGGGGCTTCTTTTTTTTTCAAAGAATAGTCCTTGAATATGGCCATTTGTATTTAGTAAAAACATTTATATATTAAGGTTAACGATGAAATAAAAAAAATAATTTCTAGAACACTTATCGCGTTATATTTTCTGTATTATTCCATTAAATATTCCAGTAATGTAAGCGCCACTTCGGAGGTTTTGACTCCTGTAGTTGTTAATTTCGAAAAAATTCATAAAAGCTATTCTAAATAACAGGCAATTTTGTTCGAAATTTTTTTAACATGAAAGTACTCTATGTAAGCATAGAAATCATTCCCTAAAAAATGTTTAGATTCCACATGTTATTACCAAAATGTAATCGCTTCACCATTATTATGATGATTACTTTCTAAAAATAGCTTTTACATGTACGAGTATAAAGCGACGTATGTAATTACTGTTATTAGTCACCAAATATTTTAAATCATGTAAGGCGAAAACATATTGTATTTATTGTATTGTATTAAAAAAATTCTTATCGCAGTTCCACCAGCACAAATCTCTTGACGCTGTTATAAATTTCTAACTAATTCTTAAGTTAACATATCACTTTAAGTAAACAGTTTGCACGGGCGTTTCCAAAATGCTATAAAAAAATCACAACACACACAATTCACAACAATTTTCACAACAATTGTGTCACAACAATTTCCACATTGAAATCTCAAATATATATTGTATGACAATCTGTTATGTTGTTATGAAAAAAATTTAAAATATCTTCAACGAAGATCCACATTTATCTTTATAAAAACGTGATTGGAAATTGTTAAAGCATTTATATCTTGTTTCTTTGATATTTGAAAGAAATGTATTAGACCCTACTTATTATCTACTTTAGTTCTGTCACTACGCCTATGTCTCCGAGATTTTTTCTTTAAATACTTAAATTTGTTAAACCTTTAAGCTCAAAAATATTAACTCTGCTATGTTATCGTGTAAATGATATAAAATTTACTAAATAGTAATGTAATTTAACAGTAGTACCATTTAAAATGGAAGAACAAGGTACGGCTATTTATTCTTATTTATTTTTTCTATTTAATTCGATACATATATAATGTTCTTACAGACGCAGAATCCATTATTGAGAAGATTGTGGAGACCACAGAAAAAGATAACGAAAAGGAAGATGACCATGTTTCATACTTTTATATAATCCTGTTTTACCTGCTAGGAACTGCAGCCTTTGCACCTCACAACTTTTACATCACTGCAAATGAGGTGAGTTTGGTTTAATCTTGGTGTAAATACTCAAAATATCACTCGTTAAATAATTTAAACGTTTCAAAAATGCGAAATTATTACTTCTTAGAGATAACGATTTTATTGTTTTAGTATTGGATGTATAAGTTCAGAGATCCCAGTTTATACTCTAACGAGACGTATGTTGAAGAAAAAACAATTCTTCAGAAGAATTTTACCGCCAATGTGAGTATCGTTAGCAATGTTTTCATGATATCCTTCTTGGTCCTGCTGTTTCTCCTCTACAAAAGAATCCCACTTCAGACGAGGATAATAGGAAGCATGAGTATGTTGCTGGTGCTGTTCGCGATGACTTTATTATTCATATTTATTGACACAGATTCATGTAAGCTTTTTTTTAATTTCGCAAACATATTTGAAATAGACAATGTCCCAAAATTCACGCTAGAAGTCATTTTAATAGAAAACACAGGTTTTTAATAAAAATTGTAATTTTTTATTGATTCATAAAATAATCAGTATAGGGTTATATTTGGAATAGCATATCTAGTCCGGGCGAAATAGGTTTTTTTTTCAAAAATCGGGCCTAAGTCGAATTTTATGGGCTTAAATTAAATAAAAAATACACAGATTAAGAGCCTAAATTTGTGTATTTGTAGAGGTCGATCGTAATCGTGTTTGTAACAAAAGAAAAAAATAATTGCTCTTTTTTCAGTTTTTCGCTTATATCTCCGAAAATAAGCCTCTAATCGACATGAGGCATACTTATCGATTTTGTTCCTGAGGAAATTTACTAGAAGGATAGGCTTTTCCGAAAGCTCGCAAAATTTTGTTTACATTGCAAAATTAGCTGTGTAAATGTGTAAAATTTTCAGCATTAAATAAAAAGAACATATTTAGCTGGACTTGAATGAAACTACAGGAAAAGATAACTATTGGAATGCTAAACAAATATCCGCAATCCGGATCCCCCAATTTTCAAAATAAGATCCACTTCTTATTTGTGGAAGGGCGAAATGGGCGGTGGCTATTAGACGCCTTCATTATAGCCATCTTTCTCTATCGCACGGATTTCTATGACTCTATGAAAAGTTTAAGAGTTCGTAGGCAGTGCCATTCATCTATTTTCTTATATAAACTATTGAACAATGAAACTGATGATTCTAACATATTGCAAAAGTTAGGGTTCAAAAATATTCCTAGGTTCTTGTTACGCTCTGTTGCTACGTTCCATCTTCCTGTCCCTGGAACTAATGTTTTAAGCAAGTCTCCGTTATTTCAGTGTTGCACTAACTACAATTTAATAAGCAGCCAGCTTGATATATTTAACACAACCATTGCCGATATTAAAAAAAGTGTTTTTAGGTTAGTTCTTGTTTGTGTGTTATTTTATTTGCTGTGATTTAGTGTATTTTCATTGTTACCTCATCCTGTAATTAGTATAAACTGTTGGATGTTGTAATTTTTAAAACAAAATAAATAAATTAAAATAAAATTTAATCGATTAATGAATATGAAAATGAGATACATCGGTTAAGATGATTTTGTTTGAAAAATCAGCATCTATTTGTTGTTCTATAATCCATTCAATAAATTCTCTTCCCTCTGCGTGGTCAGTCTCCCAGAAATTCACTATTTCGACCATATTTTCTACGAAAATTGCGATGTAGCTTCCAAACCTTCACTATTTTTAAAATATTGCTCGACAATGAAAACGTGTTGGTCACGTTATCTTTTTTACCGTTGGCATAACTTTACCGCACAAATTGTGCAAAATTCAAATCTTGTGTGAATTTTAGGACACCCTAGATAATACATTAGTTTATTGTTCTTCTCATAGTAGGTATCAATATTTATTGTTTCTTTTTTAGGGCAAACGGTATTTTTTGTTATTGCGTTAGCAATAGGAGGACTACTAAGCGGTAAGTGTTAGTCAATGAATGTACGGGGTAATATGTGTGTATATTAAATAAAAAATTATTGAGCGTTATGTAATTAAAACTAACATTCTTTTCTGCAGCATTTTCTGCTGTCCTCTTGATCTCTCTGTTCCAACTAGCCTCCAGATTTCCACCTAGATGTCTGGTGGCCCAGTTCGCAGGTCAAAATTTGTGTGGTATATTGGCAGCCGTCATTCAGATCATAGCATTGGCCGCTACGCCTTCAGTCCAAGGTACTGCTGCACTCTACTATGCTATCGCAACTGGAACTATAGCGGCTATTATGACTTTCTACTTAATCGTGGTAAACAAGTCAGAATATTTCCGAAGTAAGTTGTATGAGAAGCCAAAGGAAAAACAAGCAGATGCGAAGAAGAAGCCTAAGTTTGAGTTGGACATCGTGAAGAGTGTTCTCAGAAAACTGGCGTTACTTGTAGTGGCCTTGGTTTTCGCCATAGCTAGTACAGGGATCTTACACCCTGGACTTACTGCTTTAGTAGAGTCTTCTAATAAGGGAACAAATGTTTGGAGTGGTATGTAATAATATTCAAAATGAGATGGACTGGAAAATTGTTTTTTTTTGTTTCAGATACATATTTCTTGCCAGTTTGTGTATATTTGTTATTTAATATTTTTGAATTTATTGGAAGAGAGACTTCAAACCACTTTCCAAAGGTAATGAATAGTTCTATGCATGTAATTATTATATAATTCTCTCATAAAACCTCCAGTAGTTCAAAAGCTGTTGATTTTATATTTGTAACGTTTGCAAATGCAGGTTTTTTATTGTCTCCATCATTCACATTAAGATATTTGTTGCAGTTGACCAATATCTATGTCATTTTTACCACATCTTCTGTGCGACTTATCTTTTTACCACTAATACTGCTATGCAATATCCAGCCTAGGAACCATCTACCTGTGGTGTTCCAGGATGATGCATATTTTATAATTTTTTTCATTATATTCGCTTTGAGTGGAGGATATTTAGCAAATATAGGAATCATTGCAATGAATAAGTAAGTTTTCTGTAATACTACAGTTACATCAAATATAAAAAATATTTTTTCTTTTAGATACTGCGCACCGGAAGAAAAGTTGGTGGGGACACTATTCATAGTGTTGATTATGGTCGTAGTTGTTCCAATAGTCTCAATTCTTAGTGGAATGGTCGTTAATATAATTTAATTTCGTTTGTTGTTTTGTTTATAAATAAATAAATTATTTATTTTCAGTTTACCAACATTCTATTCTTACGCCCTCCACTTTTTGTCTTTTCTTACCACGCTTCTAAATTTAAAAGATTCATTTAGATATAATTTAGGTGACACGAATCCTATTAATTTTTGTGTAGCAATAGAGGCATGACATTGTCTGAACTGGTATTTTTAGCAGGAGCTGGGTTTAAGAGTCAAAGCTCATGAAAATACAAACATTTGTAAATTCAGTGAAAATATACATTATTTGCATTAAAACATATAGATATATAATCAAGACGTACTTAAACTTTTTGATTGACAATAAGCTAAAGACTGACGAGAAATAAATAAAACTTAACGAATCTAAAATTTGCATTAGAATAAAAGTTACAAACGTTGGGAAAAATATCAAATCGTTCCTATATCATTTGTATATTTTGTCTTAATGTAAGATATGTCTTATTAGTATTTTGTTTATGGCTAATACAGAATGGTCCGAATTTTATACAGAAAACTTCGAGGGCAGATAGATCTTTTTAAAATAGTAGGTGTTTGCCTTATAAACATGTCTGGAACGGCATCGTTTTGAGAGGGTGTTGAAGTTGTAAAAAAAAATGATTTTTTGTTTATATATCCGAAATCTATTAACCGATCTCAATAAAATTTGGTACATATAATGTATAACAGAAGGCCTTGTATTCCCTAAAATATGGGCTCTAAAGGTTCAACCAGTGGTGTACAACTGGACAGGGGTCACCATCTTTTTATAAAAAAAACCTACGTCACTGTATTTTTTACAACTTATTGTAACGAATTTATATTCTAATGCACTAAGTACTTAAAAAAGGTAACTTGATTTTTTTCCTAAGATTCACCATTCTCAAGTTATTCATACCAATACACTTATAAACCATAATATTACAAGAATATTTATGTTTATGCTTAAAAGTGAGTGCAATTTGTAAGCAGATCAACAAAATTATTTCCACATCACCTGTGAGGTAGTGTTCCCAGTGTGTTTTAGTTTCCCCTGGAGGCTTAATCCACTATCTTTACAAATAAGAACAAATTAAATCAAAATAATAATAAGAATACATTTACCAAGCAACAACAACTAAACAAAAAACAAAATTAGCGTTACGTATTTACAACAATTGTTCAAAATGCGAAGTATCCACATCGATACATTTCTGACATCTTCTATTAATGGAACTAATTGAAGCTAATATCATGTGGTGGTTTTCTTTTATTTCGTTACACCCGTCTTCTATTCTCTACAGAGTGGTGGTCTTGTATTTATTGCAGTAGAGTAAACTTTACTTTGGCACTGGACCCTCTGCATCATTATGGTTGACATTGGCATTTGGTCTTCTACCTATCCCTCGTCCCATATAATTTTCATTAAGCCATTCTTGTATTATTCTCCCAAAATGCGCAGAAGCACCATCCATTTGTATCCAGCTATTTTGTGGTATATTTAATGGAACATCCTCTAATAATTCAAATAGATGGTTTCTAGAATGTTTAGAAATGACTGGTAATTTAGATGGGGTGGCAAGAAGAAAGGTTCACAAACTTTATTGCGAATTATTCCGAGTCACACTTTCGCAGAAAATTCGTGTTGAAAAGATCTTGTCCGAATTTCATAAGGATTTTCTTGTGACCAAATATTGTGAAAATTCACTATCCCTCGCCTTGTGAACGTAGCCTCATCGGTCCAAAGTATTTCTAGTAATAATTCTGTATTATGTTGTGACAAATATTCAGGCGTCTCTCTGCATCTCCCGGAAGTAAATTTTGCACAGGATGTAAATGGTTCGGATTTCTACCATCCTTTTGTAGAACTTTTCAAATTTTCGATTTACTCACCCCAAGTTGCCGAGACGTTCTTCGTGCTCTTTGCCGAAGATCGTCGTCAAATGCTCTAAAAATTTAATTTCTGTGTCTTTCATTGCGCCGTCGTGATTTTCCAAGTATCGTGTTAATCCAAAAAGATGAAAGCGACGAGTGTAAAGAATTTTGTTGATGTGTTTACAAATTGCACTTACTTTTAAGCATAAACATAAATATTCTTTTAATGTTTAGGAATAAGCTATGATACCAGCTAGTGATGGACTGCAATTATTGAAATGACGACCAAGAAAACAAAAAGAAATTATGCAAACTTACCAGAAAGGATAACGGCATCCATACAACACTACTACGATTGGCGAGGACAAAAGGATATGAGGCATAGAGGACAAGGAAGCTGGCCACCATATCCACAATTTCGTTTAAGGGCGCCGTATTATTTAAATAGTGTTTTCCACAAAGACAAATAATTTCAAACATTTAATAACTGAATAATCTAAAGCTTATCAAATAATAGGAATGTCATGATTGTCATGTCATGCTACCTGAGTATTTTCAAGGACGCCGCAGTAAAACGAATAAACAGGTGCAAATAACGATCAAACCATCAAGGTTTTAGGTACTGAAATCTACGAAAATATTAAGTTTTATTTATATAACTCCACATGTAAATATTCTTATAACATTTACTTGCTTAGTCCTACATATAAAATTGTTTACTTTTATTTATTAAGTACGTGAAAATAATTCTTAAAATGTGGGGTTAGGGTAACAGCAAACGTTTTTTTTTTATTATTTTATTTGAGTAAATTTAAATAGTAACAATGAATAAACAGAACGTCAAGGATATTATTTGTGTGCTTATTTTTGTTCTACGCGTTTTACTTTTCAGGATTTCAGTACCTAAAAACGCCAGAAATTTGACTATTTCTCGGCCAGGGATATGGCCAACTTAACCAATTTCAAAAACTACCTTTTTAAAAATTATTAACATTACGCCACGAACCTTTTCTATCTCGATTCGATCGAAATCTATCAATTTTACACCTCTCTCTTTTTTTTTCGTTTTTTAATTCGCCTTCCACATCGTGGATATAAAACAGTACATACAGAGTTATCTATGATTTATAGTTTAAACTAGCAAAACGATTTCTATTTTAATGGTTTGGCTTAAACATTCCCCCCAGGCTGAACTGCATTTCAGAAAGTGACAAGAAAGAAGAGAGAGAAAGAAAAAACTAATTACACTTAAGTTTAAATATATCTAATTATAAGTTAACTAATCTAGCTAAAAACAAAAGGAAAATATGGACATGTATGAAAACCGTTATAACAAAAATAAAAAAAATTATAAAAACTAAAAAAAAACATGAAAAATGCTATTGTACTAGTAAAGGACAGACCTTGTTTAGAGATCTCTTAATGTATCAAACTTGGTACGCACATCAATCACTCTAATAATGTTGTCTCAGCCTCGATAAACTTTGTCTATAATTCCTAAAGGCCACTGGTGTAGGTAAAGGTGGTGTATTTGGTTGTTCTAACAAAACTATAGTGCCCACTTCAACAGGATTGCTGTAGTATTCCAGCGTTGTGTAGATTGCAAAGAAGTAAGATACTCCAAATGCCACCTTTTCTAAAAATCTTGGATCATACGATCAACCATTTTGAATCTATTTAATAAATTAATATTCTGATCAGTTTCAAGAATTTTTTTAAAATTGCTCTACCGCCAGCATCGACCTTCGACTGTGTCGTTTGTTAAGGCTTCGATGGTTGGAGCACCTGAGAGCTTCTTAGAGAACTTCGGTGAAAAATCTTTGAAACATAGTTGAAAATATAATCTTATGTGCTATGTTCCTCGCAGAGGATAGTTTGGGTTCCCTCAGACATGTATTTCTACTTTGGCCGAGAATGGTTCCGCAACGAATGATTGGAGATGGCTTCGTGGAATAGAACGATGAAAACTTTAGCCTTTGATGAGCAGTTTGTGTTCCAAACGTTAGCAAAAATTTAGAACAAATAGCAGCAGCTCATTTCAAAAACCTTTCAGAAGATGTAAAAGTAGAAGTGCAAATTCTTTCTTCTAGGTTGTTATATTAGTTCTGTTTACACATCACACACTATGGGTCCATTGTCAATGGATCAGTAGAGAACAATGTTAAAAATCGGTCAATTTCTACCCCACTCAGGGACTTTCTGTAGCTATCTTAGATGATTCCAATAGGCTTGTATTAGATAGAAATACACATCTAAGGCTGTCATTCTGCGGAGAAAATTATCCAGATCTAAGGCTGTAATTTAGAAGTGTAATCATAGCAAATAAGTAGACAACCACGAAAACATTTCTGACTACTGTTTTACAAAATGAAAGAGTACCATTGGGATAAAAGAAAAATTTATAACAGTCGAACAACCGAAGGCTAGAAGTGTTTTAATTGGAATAGACTTAAGAAAATACACATGTGTATATTGAAAATTTGAATAGCTTGTGGAAAATACTATGTAGATTTGCATTTATTATTCTTTTTTAAAAGCGGTTCCGCAGTTATAGAGAATAAATTGGTAAATATTATTCGTCTGTTTTCAATGTGTGATGTGTTGCATGCTCTAAACAACTTCCTGCTAAAACTTACTACAAAAGATAAGAACTTATATCTCTACTTGATTTAAAAAAAATAATAAAATATTCAAATAAAATTCGAATTTAAATTTCTTAAAATTCAAAATTTTAAAATCATATCATTATAACTGGCGCCCAACAACAAGTAGTATAATTAAATTTCCCATAACAATTGCAATTCACGTAACAGCAATAACAGTATAACACAGTATATACATTTATTTTAAAATAGCACATTACAATATAGAGAATACATTGGTAAATATTATTCGTCTGTTTTCATTGTGTTATGTGTTGCATGCTCTTAACAACTTCCTGCTAAAACTTACTACAGAAAATAAGAACTTATATCTCTACTTGATTTAAAAAAAATAATAAAATATTCAAATAAAATTCGAATTTAAATTTCTTAAAATTTAAAATTTTAAAATCATATCATTATAATTGGCGCCCAACAACAACAAATAGGATAATTAAAATTCCCATAACAATTGCAATTCACGTAACAGCAATAACAGTGTGACACAGTATATACATTTATTTTAAAATAGCACATTGCAATATAT